CAGTTCTCTAAGTGGTTCAGTCTAAAATTATATATGTCATAATAATTCCATTCCTGGTATGTTCCCAAGAGAAATGAAATCCTATAGTTACACAGAGATTTGCATATGAATGTGTCTGGTGCACTATTTATAATAGTTCAATGAGGGACACAACTCAAGTGACATCCATGGATGAATGGATAAACTAAGTATGATTTAGTAAATCCAAACATGTAATCTTTGTCAGACATGAAGACATGTTAGAACAAAGGTAGCCTTGGGTAAAGTAAACTAGTCACAATTACATTAATTTGGAATGTCCAGAATATAAAAATATATAGAAAAGGAGAATAACTGTTTAGGGCTGGGGACTGAAGGAATGGAAGGGTTGACTGTTAAAAGGTACGGTGTATGTTTTTGAGGTTTTGTAAATGTCCTAACTCTCTAAATTACACTTTTCAAAGAAGTGGGACCATGTCATTTGTGAAGTATTTTTCTGTAACACTATAACAAAATGCAGAAATGTTTCAGCTATCAGTCTAATAATTTAGTCTTCACACTTGGGGAAAAAAAATCTATACCTGAATCACAACTGTGAGTGTGTCTAATCCCAGTTCTAAACTATGAAGTGTTCCCTGTCATTATAGAAAAGCTTGCATTTTATTCAACAGCAGCAGCAAAAAAATTCATTGCAACCACTTCCTCCAAATGTTGCCAGACAATAACTCCTCCTATCAGAGCTGCCAACATAGCATCTGCTGCTTTATTACACGTTACACTTCAGCTACATTTGTTTCCTTCTTGCTTTCCCTTCAATTATCACTGGATTCTTTCATAGAGTTAGAAGACCAACGCAAGAAAAAAAATCTGCATCTTCAATAAGAATTCATGCATAACCCTTATTATGTTTTTGTATGTCATTGGCTTATCATCTCTAAGAAAAATTCAATTTATTTCTTGTCCTGTGCTGATTATATTATTGGCCACCAATTATCCCTTGCCGTATTTTATATGAACTAAAATATTTTATTAAAGTAAATTTAACTTAGTCATTCCTCTCCTCTTATATCTTCTAAACTTTTGGGTCACCTCTCACCTCTACTATTTCCTTCTTCATGTTAAAAATCGATGACAAAACAAGGCATTTAAACATATTTAGTTTTCGTCTAATCGAAGGAATGGCTTCCTTCAGTGACTATGAGCCACTATGTATCAATTGCTGTTGAACTTGTATAAGTTTAATAATATTGAAAATGGAGAGGAAAGATGGAGAAAGGCATATAGGCAGGAAGGATAATTTTGATTAAAGGAAGATTTTTAAAGAGGTAGGACAGGTTGTCACGTGAAAGAGTTTGGAGAAATGTGAGTATATCTAGGGAAGGGACTTCCCAGAGAAAGAGTAGAGCAACCTCAGAGGCTTCAAGGCCAAAACAGTCACAATGGAGCAAGTGAGGCAAAGTCTTAGCGGAGAGTACCAGAGGGAACGTGAGCTCAAATCCTGCAATTATGATATCTCTTTCCTACAAAAGATCAGTTCTCCACCTAACCTTCTCAATTCCTGCCGTAGTCCAGACAAAAAGACAAGACACAGGAAAGACATTTCTGTCAAGTGGAAAGAGTTTTATGAGAACCATCTAACACTGATCATTGCTATAGGCTACATGATAAAGGTAACCTGAGAAACTGCCTATTGCAGGAGAGCCCTAGATCCTCCAAGGAGGGAGAAGAGAAGCAAGCCAGGCCTTGATAACACAGGCTCAGCCTCTCAGCCTCTTTCTGTTGCTTAGGATCAGTTCCACTGAGTGCTGTGAATGTTGGTCCTATCAGTAGCAAATGATGGCTTTGCCTTTAAGCTGCTCCACATGGGCACAAATGCTTAGCCATGCCCCAGTCTAACCTAAAGCTACAATAACCCTCACAATGAGAGTCAATTAGTTTAACAAATTATCAATTGGTGGAGCTCCTTGCACATGTAGTAACATGCCCACAAAGCATCTCTTTGTGATCCAGCAGCGGTCCCATCTCAACTCACAGCTTCATTAATCATGTGCTCTGCTTGTAGTTGTCTAAATTGCAGCGCCATTGGAAATGGGGAAACACTGGAAGGAAACGGATTAGGAAGGGCAACAAATGGGAATAGGAAACATATTGCTGCACCACTTATTTATTCAATTACAATTCAATAGAACTATGTATTATGTACAAAATGCATACGCAATGTCTGTTGACACATTACCCATGTGATTATTTGTATAATAATGTGTATATACATTGTATATGTGGATATATAAAATGGTGTGGCTAGATGAAATTGTAATAAGCTTACCGATTATATCATATTTCAGTGTGTATCACCAGACCATCGTCCCTGTGTTCTACTTTTGTATGCAGTTTTCCATTAATACTTTTATGAAGGTCAAATGTGAAAATGTAAGACAAAAAGTGCATGGAAAAATTTACACCTTTTTTCTTTTCAAAGTAATTTTGTATGCATGCCAGGACAGTGGAAGTTGATGTTATGTTGTACGCTACTGCAAACTCAAATATCACTGGTTGAATGAGTTGTTGTACTTCATGTCTTCCTCTGCATTTGTCTTCCAGTAGGAAGGGATGAGAAATAAAGCTTTAGAATTCTTTAGGGCCCATTTCTTACCCTCTTTAGCAGGTGGGAAGTTTGGAAGACTGAAGTGATAAATACTGTTAGTTTCCTGACTTCTGCAAGCACCAAGCATTCTAGACCTTTGTAGAAGGTGACATGTTTCTCACCTTAGGGCTGAATCTTGCTTAGTCTAGTCCAATACCAGTAATTTATTTCCCTAATTGTCCTTGATTTATTTAGAGAAGGCATGAGGTATCATTCTGGCCAATAATTTCCACCACTTTGATGGGTATTCTGGGAGTTATTTTTGCTCATAAAATAAACATAGAGAGCTGGAGACATAGATCAGCAGTAGAGCACTTGCCTGGCATGCCAATAACCCCAAAACACAACAAACAGATAACAGAAGTCGAGGGAAAAACTACTCTTTTGTGCTTACTTTTGACTACTGAGTGATGCCTGAATCTGCTAAAGCCAGGCTATGATCTAAGAAGAGATTCCAGAAGAACAAAGTAAAGTAAGAAAGAAGATTAGAAGCACTTACCACCTCAGAGGTGTGACTTAACAGTTGGCTTCACTGACTTTCCTTAGTTTATTATGAGTGCTATTATTAATTGATAGATTCAGCAAGTTTTTGCATTACTGTGACTACACACACTTGAGATACATCAATCAATTGATCAGTCGATCCATCGATAGATAGACAGATAGATAGATAGATAAACATAACTTAAAAAGGAGGAATTTAGATGATAGATAGATGGATAGATAGATAGATAGATAGATAGATAGATAGATAGATAGATAGATAGATAGATAGATAGATAGATAGATAGATAGACAGACATAACTTAAAAAGGAAGAATTTATTTTGGCTCCTGATTTCAGAAGTTCCAGTCCATCCTGGAGGGGAGCTTTTACATGATATTAGTGAGGAAGCAGAGGAAAGGTGATATAGAAAGAAGCTAGGGCAAGATATGAATCTCCAAGCACACATCCAGTGACCTAATCCCTCCAAGTAGCTTGTATGTGCTACCTTTTACCACTGCCTTCAAATGCCATAAAATGATAGATCCATCAAGGGATGGATCAATTCATCATGTCAGAGCCTCCATGAGCTAATTGTCTCTAGAAATGCCATCAGAGACACATCCTGGGGTGAGCTTTAAAAACCCCATGGCATTTCACAAATCAGAAAAGTTAACAATGACGATTACTTACCATCAGGCGAAATGGGAGGGGCATAGAGAGAAAGACAAGAACCAGGTTCTGTTCTACATAATGGGCATTGTTGTGAGTGGTCTTTCTGCTACATTTCATTTAAAAGAATTTTATTGTTATCATAGATATGATATACATAGGTGGTACAATTGCATAAGATAATGAATCCATTTCTTTTTGGACAATGTCACCCCTTCCCTCACTCTCTCCTAGGTTTTCCCTTTCATCCCCGCCGTATCCTTCATTTTTACCATAGTGAGTACCATTACTACATCTGTTCACCCTTTGTCCCTCCATCTCTGTGGTTCCACTAACACTCCCAAAGACATACAAATGAACAGAACAAAAAGAAAAGAAAACAAAAACAACAGCAAAAAAATAATCTCTTGTTTTCATTTCCTGGAGTTCCTTTCGATAAATATTATTTTGCATGATCAGATGTACATAGGGACATTGTGTTTTTCTGTTCCTCTCCCAGAAGTATCCTCTTTAGGCCTCACTGTGTACGCATCATTTTTTGTGGGATTTTTTTCTTGTTTTAATAAAACAGCCTGCCTCACTAAAAATACAATGGATCCATGGAAATAAGATGTAGAGACAAAGGACTTGACGTGGAATCTTGGAACACTGCATTCTAACATGGGGAACTTGAGCCAAGTACTTCACTTACTAATTTGTTCATTCCGTCAGATTACAGACTCTTGTTGGTTTCATGTGCTGCCTCACTTCTATGGCTTTGTGGGGCAGGGGGAGATGGGAGGGGCTCAGAGAGAAAGACAAGGCTCTGGTCTATATAGTGGACACATTGCTGTGAGTGCTTACATAGATCCCAGGAGTGTGAGTATTCATCCTCTCCTTGCATATGATTCCTGCCTTCTGGGCTGTCTGCCCAGGAATTATGCTAGGAGTCATGTGCAAATATAACTAGATGATAGAGATTTCCACTGCAATCTGCAGTAGAGTTCACTAGTGAAGTAAAGCTTAATAAATTCCAGACTATCTCTCAAGTATACAATTTAAAGTTAACTTTTCTGGCCAGACGGGCTTTTACCAGGAGGTATGCTAGAACCAAGGCATAGCAGACTCAAAAGAGCTAATCATAAGTCAACCAGGATATTTCTTCTTCTTTCACATTTCCCTTCAAGCATGTCAGTGTGCTCCATCCCATTCAATAATATTGTCCATTATTGGCTACCAACATCTTTTCAAAAACTCCACAGAATGTCTTCTAAATTGGACACAGGTAGACAGACTTTAGATAATCCATACTCTTTCATTTCTTCCCCTGACTTAATGCTCATTAGGATATCCAGGAGTGGAATTTGTGCATGCAAATCGCTTGAGTTTCTCTTCTGTTTGTCTTATTCTTGTAGCCCAAAGAATGCATGAAATCCAAGTTATCTTACTCTCTCTCCCATTCAAGTTTGTCTCTTGCTCAACAAAATCTTACTCTATGTTAATGATCCAGTTACTTGCACATACTCCTATGCATTCACTAAAGCTAATATCTCTATCTTTTAAAATCAAGCCTCTCCTTTTATGCAATAGCATTCTCAATAAATCAGCTAGTTCATTATGAGACTGCAAGGAGGTATACATGGAAAGGTTTTAGCACTTGTTAATTGCCAGCAAGGTATTGATTTTAGCTATATATAATTGTAACAGTCCAGAAAAGCAATAGCACAATCATGTTTGTGACATCTAATTATAATAGTAAAAAATAACAAGTTCTTAATGTGTTTTTAAGAACTTGTCTGTGAGTCTTCCAGGTTAAGAAAACAAAGATGAAAATTTTAAACTATTTCTTAAAATTAAAAATTGTGTACACTTCAGAGGATGTTAATCATTTTAAGTTGCCTTTAACATCATGCAGTGCAAAATACTATCAGCATTCACTCCAGGCACCCAAAATATTTGGAAATAAGATTCAGATACTTGCATGCCAAAGTTCATACCAAGCAGAATTATTCACAATAGACAAGAAATGGGAACAACTCAGGTGTCTAAGTAATGAAATAAGAAGATCTCTGTCTGTCTGTCTGTCTGTAGCTCTCTCTCTCTCTCTCTCTCTCTCTCTGTGTGTATTATTGGCCATGAAAATAATACATGCTGTAAAATTAATGAATCCCAAGAAAAATATTTTAAGAAAAGATAGACACACAAAAATGCATTTTTCTACTTATAAGAAACATCTAGCCAGGTGCCAGTGACTCACACCTGTAAAACTAACTACTCAGGAGACTGAGATCTGAGGATCATGGTTTGAAGCCAGCTGGGGCAGGAAAGTCTGTAGGACTCTTACATCCAATTAACCACCAGAAAACCAGAAGTGACACTGTGGCTCAAGTGGTAGAACACTCACCTTGAGCTGAACTGCTGAGGGACAGTGCCCAGGCCCACAGTTCAAGCCCCACGACTGATGAAAAAAATATAAAAGAAAAGAAAAAGAAACATCTAGAAAATGGAAAATTCATTGGGAAATTAGTGGATAAGATGTTATAAAGGGCAGGAGAGTGGCAGAATATTATTGTATACTGGTTATCAAATTTCATTTGTGGTTGTGACAAATTCTGCAATTAGTTAATGATTGATGGGCATACAGTATTTTAAATGCCATTAAAGCCATTCAATTATTTGCACATCTAAATGGGCTTAAAAGGTCAATATTGTGTTATGTATATTTTTTTCTACCACAGATTTTTTAAATAATACATTGGGGTAGATATTTCTATTGAAAAACATCCTCATATATAAGATTGTGTATGTAGAGTGAATATTGTTTTGGTGAGTCACCTGAATGTAACTTGCAAAGTCCACTTGAAAATGAGATACAACACATTCTGACCTCTACAGACAGTCCTTATGTCTGTTTTTGTTAAAAACTGCTGTGGCACAATTTTTCCTTTGGAGGTTATGATTCTCTAGTGATGACTTTCAACTTCTATTCTTGTATATTTCCTGCATCTCACCTCAATTCTCTATTCCTGTCAACAACCATAGCATTTAGTTCTACAACAAAAGTGCTTTATAAAATAAATATTTTAATTATTCTACCCATGAACCAAAAGATATGATGGCAAAATGTAGCTATGGTCCATATGATAGGAAAAGGGGAATCCTCAGCCCACATTATTTGCTTGACTATCTGATGAGGTTGTAATAATTTGTCTTTATTGGTCAGGTATAAGTTTTTCAGTGGCTCCTATTTTTCCTCTGAATTCTTCTCTACTAGAGAAGCAGATTTGGAAACTAGCCCTTGGTTTTGGTAGATAGTAGCATCATCCATATTCAAGGTTTTATCACTTTGCAGCTTGATCCTAATAATCCACCTCTATGCCACACCTTCATTCCGACTGAAGATGAAGTCACTGTGCTTGAAACTATTCCTGTAATAATCTTGAGGATAGCACTGAGGAGAAACACAAAAATTTACAATGTTAATTTTGAAGAAGGAGAGGGTTGGGATGTCCATTGGAGATGCTCACATATTTTGACTTATAAAGGAAGAGAGAAGAATGCATGGATTGATTCCCTTTCAGGGAATGCATAAACCTTCTGCTTTACACTAGTGGAGAGAGCAGGAGAGGGAGATTGCAAGACCAGTGGATGTAACCAATGAGAAGTTCTGGGTACCCTCAATCATGGTGGCTACTAGCAATCAGCAAACTCCAGAAACATAAGGTATCCACTAGGAAGAGCTATGCAAAACCGATGTCATTCCCAGAGCCACTGGCTTTGTGGGTGACATCCACAGGTGATATGACCAGCATATAGTTCACATGACACGAATGCTCTTAGAATCAAAACAGTAAGCCCCGTGCCGGCGGCTCACACCCATAATCCTAGCTACTCAGGAGGCTGAGATCTGAGGATAGTGGTTCAAAGCCAGCCTGGGCAGGAAAGTCAGTGAGACTCTTATCTTGAATAAACGACTAGAAAACCAGAAATGGCACTGTGGCTCAAGCAGTAGGGCTCTTGCCTTGAGCTGAAGAGCATGAGGACAGCACCCAAGCCCAGAGTTCAAGCCCCATGACCGACCAAAAAAAAAAAAAAACAAAATTGTGGGGAAAAAATTAAAAATTGGAGGTTAGAACAACTCCACTGTGTCCAGAAGATAAACACTTTGATATGTCACAGGTTTGCATGTGCCTTCGAGGATATATGCACTTATTTTACCTTGGGTATTTTTCTAAAATGATACTGAAAGAACATATTTGATAGTCCAGTCTAAACATCGTTGTCTAGATTAATGCTTGCATACGTCTTTGCTATTCAGGAAACAAAGATACAAAGAATTATGCTGTGCACTAAGATTCCAAAAAAGATGAAGACACAACTCCTGTCATTAGAAACAGTAGGAAATCAGATAGCTAAATAAGCAATAGTATATTGTAGGAAGAACAATGTGTCATCCCGTCATATGAGTAACTTACTATAAAAAGCTACTAATTGTAGTTTAAAGAGAGAACTCAGAGTCTCAGTAGAATAAGTATGGTTTGCACTGATGAAGAAAAGAAAAGCTATATGTACATATGACCATATAAGATGATGTTAAGCAAAATGAACCCCAAGATCGGGACACAAATATCTTTTTTCTTTCTTGCTATTGTTTCTAACGTATTTATAATGTACCATGTGAATTTTTTGTTTCTTTGTATGTTCCTCCCCCATGGTATAACCTCTGGGTTTTCACTGTATGTGCTGCCGATGCCCTACACTTCTCTAATTCAGGAAAGGGAAGGTAAAAAAGCAAAATGCTTAAATAAGGATACAGGTTGACCCATTGTAACAATGAAATGTACAAAACACTATGAAAATGAACTTTACAACTTGGGAAGGGTGGGGGGTGTAGTTGTGGAGGTGGGAGGGAAGGGATGGTAGGGGAAAACAAAGGAGGAAGCAACAATGCTCAGCAGGAAATGTACTCATTACCTTGCTCATGTAACTGTAACGCCTCTGTACAGCATTTCTACAATAAAAAACATACAAAAAAGAAAGCTTGAATTAGTTAAGAGAGATGGAAGGAGAGCGGAAAGGGAGTGTATTTGCAAGAAAATTAATACTATTTTAAGAAGCTTTGCCAATTAGAGTATAATATAGTTGAAGACTTTGGGACAAAGTTGAAGACATTTGAATGTAGCACAGTATTTCCCACAACATTTTACTATGAAGGTCAAGTGCAAAATAAACTGTCTTTTGTACTGGTGAGTGTGTGTGTGTGTGTGTGTGTGTGTGTGTGTATGCATGCATGTATGTACAGGTGTTATATGTTGTGTAGTAAATGTGTGTGTGTTCTTGCACACTGACATAATAAAGGAAAAGGAAAATTTTACAGTACAAGAATAGCCAGGCTTCCCCTGCAGCCTCCTGCAAAGCCTCTGACTTCTCTGTAAAGAAGCAGCCCTGCATAATCACATGAAAGAGATTTCTTATATGGATAAGAATTTACCCTATTGTGGGAGCTGATAAAGCAGTCTCTAGAAGACTGATGGGGTTTGAGGTCTGTAAAGTAGGCAGTTGAAAAGCAAAGTAGTTATAAAGTAAGGAAAAGCAAAGCCTTACAGTCGTGTTAGAAAGGACTGTGGCTATGGAAGGCAGGAGAAGGTAAATGGGAGGGGATTCAAGAAGGTGCCTGGGATACTGGTTGTATCCTATATTTGTCAGAGGTTGTTAACACAGGTGTCTTCATGCTGTAAATAGTTTTTGATGCATTTTTTACTGGATAAGTTGTACTTAAATGGAAGGTAAACCAAAGGAAATCCAAGCTCCCAATATCACAGACATGGTGAGCGTTATACATGAGAAGTACAGATACTATAAGAGAAACAGATAAATGGAGCTGGCCTATCTTAGAACTCAGGAAGAATGCTCTACTGTGAGCCTTGAAGGTGAGTCTGAAACCAAGGTAATTGCTATTCAGATGAAGGACAGGAGTCTATTCTGAGCGCTGCTGAATTGAAGAGAACATGGGAGGAGAAGAGCAATGAGGCTTGAAGAGGATACAAGGTCATGGAACGGACAGCTCTTATGCCATGGAAAATCTATTTAAACTCTCACATTCATGAAGAATTCATTGAATGCTTTTATGTGTGGTGGTAATGGTCTGTTTTAAGGCTTTGAGGGAGTTGGTTGTATGTGTGTGGCCTGGAAAGAAGAGAAGAGGAAAGTCAAGGAGACCACTCAGGATGGAGTCCCAGTGCTTCACGGGTGAG